GTCCCGCCTTAACGCCGCACACATTTGTCGTAAGAGCTGTCCGAATAGTGGTCGGTTCATTATCAAAATGTGGCGATCGCCTCAGCGCCGCCCTTACGAGCGCACAGTAATGTGCTAAATATTATGATGGCCTGATGGCTGCTTTCCCAGAACGGTGGTTTGGCACGGTGTAAGGTTGCCAAGGCGCAATAGGCACATTGATTCGCAGTGTTCATGTAGTAGGAATGGGGTTCTGGCGCGGTTTAAGATCGCCAGGACGCAACAGTAATGTTGCTTCGCGGCGTTGCAGTCCCAAGAACGGTATTCTGACACGGTTCAGGATGTTCAAACGGTTGTCTTCAAACGGTTGTCTTCTACCGGTTCATGATTTTCAAACGGTTTTTGCGACCTCGTTGACGACTCTTCGGTTTACACTGACCCTCCTCCTCTTTCTCCACCTCCGCCTCCTCCTTCTCTTCTTCCTTCCTCCTCACAACTCCCGTATGCGGGTAGCAACTGTGGCTCAAGCCAGCTGGGCTCACGCGAGCCCGCCGGCAGCTGCGCGCGCGCAAGGCCGCGGGCATTGTCAGCTGTCGAAGAGCTCTTGCTGGACTTTGACGGAAAGTCGTTGTTTTGTGTGCGCAGCAGTCCTGGGGGCCAACCCTGCGAGAACCCAGCCGACAGACGGGTGCCGCTGGTAAGGCCTTGGGTTGCGCGCAGACAGCACCCCCTGGCAGTCCGGGCTGGCCTCAACAGGCCCCCCGAGTCGTCCTGGGCTGTCTCAGCACCCCGAGGGCGATATCTGTGGCGGCGCTCCTGGGGCCGGACTCAACAACACGGGTGCATGGCACAAAGAAAAAAGCGGCTGCCTTTGCTTGAAAGCCGCTCACTTCCTCACCCTCCGTGTGCAAGCGAAACAGGTCTTACGCTAGATGGCATAGCGACCTCACGCCGCAGTACGCGGGCCGCCAGCGCGGCACGCCGCATGGTAAACGAGGTCGCTCACGCGCGACCTCACGCGGACCGCTTACGCGACAATGCCAGTGAAGGCGAACCCGACTTCCTTCGTCGCTCGCCTGGCGAGCGACGAGAAGCACACCAACCCAGAGAAGAAGGGGGTGCGGTGCACAAGAACGGAGCCGAGCCACGCGGCGCTCTCCGGAAGTGCGGCGCTGGCCCTCGGGGTGTGGCGCCCTCGGACGTGGACGAGCACGCCCGAGGCCAGCAGCAGAGGATCGCGCCCCCGAGAAGACGCAGTCAGAGCATATCGGCCTCACGAGGCGCAGAAGCCCGCCATCGCTTCGGACGCGATGCAGCAGCAGCATATGGACGAGCGCGCGCAGTCTGGTGTCGATGAGGCCCCCCCCTCGGACAGCACGAGGAGGCATCGCAAGTGCAAGAACCTGCTGAAGCATCACAGCATGCTTTGACCGCTCCGCTGGGACAGCGAGGAGGACTAGATCACGATCATTTCGTCCAGGGAGCTGCTGAGGCAGCCGAAGCAACATCCCACCCAGCATCAAGAGCAGCACGCTCTAAGCAAGGGATCCACTGAAGACCTTGATTGTGTCAAGATATAGACAAAGTGCAGGAGCAGATGGAGCTCCAGCGGGCGCTCCTCACCTCTCTCGTTCTTACGCGAGTTCGACGAGCAGGAGGAAACGCAGGTGCAGCTGCAGGCCTTAGTAAAGCTTCGGCAGAGTGGAAGCACCCATATCGAGGAGCACGTCTAGGAGCTTACGGGTTAGCAGATCAAGATGAACAACCTGTTTGCCAACTTGGAAATCACGAGCCACGGGGGAGCATACGAAGTCCACACTATTCTCCGGGCTACCATGACCAATAGGCTGCGGGGTTCAACTTCGGGGGCAACTGACCTTCGAGAGGCCCCAAACATAGCGGAACATAACTAGAACATGACTCTGCAAAACACGTGCATGCACGCGCCGTGGTACGGTTGTAGCGATAATGATGGCCTCACGCATTCACTACTCCTCGCCTGCCATCCTCGCCTTCCAAGTGTTGCTTGAGTTCGATGCCAAGCAGGCGCAGCGGCTGAGAGTTGGGAGAAGTTGCGGGGGTGTTTCGGGTGGAGCGTGCCAGCATTGGACTCCGATGCGGGGAAAGGACGGCCCTCCGAAAAGGGCCGCAGAGACTGGGGAGAGCATCGAAAGCATCTATCTATCACCCTCTTCCAACATTCATCGCCTGATTTGGGCTGTCCTCATTGCTGTCCTCGTTATCCTAAATGCGTTCGTCCCCTGCCCCCAAGCCTGAAACGAGGTGCCAGCGGTCTTCCCGTAAACACACGGGGTCCAAGCCAAGACTCGGATGATACCCTCGAGCTTGACAACGGGACCTCGCAATCTCCCATAGACTTGGCGGACACACCGCGGACCTTTGCAGTACTCCTCTCACACAGCTGGCAGTCATTTGGACTAGCGCATTTGATGAAATCGATTACCATTCTCCGTCCTCACATCCACCTTATCTGCATCATCATCATCATCATCATCATCAGCAGCAGCAGCAGCAGCATCATCATCTTCATCAACCTTATAGTGATCGTCATTAGCATCATCACCAGCATCACAATCATCATCAGCAGCAGCATCATCATCACCATCAGCATAATCATCATACTCAGCATCATCATATTCATCACCATCAGCATCATCATCAGAATGAGCATCAGCATCATCATCCTCACCCTCTTCCTCAACCTAATCGTCATCATCATCACCATCATCATCGACACCATCACCAGCATAATCACCATCATAAGGCTCATCCTCATCCTCATCATTATCCTCATCATCATCATCACCATCATCATCATCCTCATCATCATCATCACCGTCATCGCCGACCTCATCGTCATCGTCATCGTCGTCGTCAGTATCCTCATCATCATCCCCTTCTGTTTCACTATTCTCGTCCTCCGCATCCATCAACATCATTAGCATTACCATCACCACCATCACCATCATCACCAGCATCACCGTCAACATCATCATCATCATCATCATCATCACCATCATCATCATCATCATCACCACCATCATCATCATAATTAAAATCATCATCATGATCATCATCATTAAAATCATCATCATTAAACTCAGCATCATTATCATCATCATCATCATCATCATCATCATCATCATCTGCATCATCATCACCACCATCATCATCGTCATCGTCATCGTCATCATCATTATCATCCTCATCCTCATCACAACCACTACCACTACCACCATCACCATCACCCTCACCACCATGATCAATAATTACAATCACCGTTTCGATCACCATCGTAAACGTTTTCGTCCTCCTCAGCCTTCTCCAGTTCACTAGTACTGCTCGACCAAAATGCCCTCTTCCTCCTCCTTGCTCATCGTTCCGGTCCTCCTCCACCTCTTCCTCCTCTTCCTCCTCCGCCTCTTCCTCTTCATCCTCCTCATCCTCCTCATCCTTCCTGCTTATTCTCAGTCAATCCCGCCTCCCCCGCCCTCATCCCTCTCCGCCCCTTCCATGCATCCCTCCCTCCCTCTACCTCCGCTCTCCATCCCGGGGGCAGAGGGTGCCACTGAAGCCCAGCAATGCCGGCGTACAGGCGGCCTGTCACACCGTGACCGGCCATCGCTCATCTGCGCCTACACTTCGTCCGTATCGCTGAACCTATTCCCATCCTCACGGGGCCATAGCATCTCAGAGACACCATCCCACCACCCCAACTGGCGATAGGCCCCGCGAATGCCGGAGGGAACAGCCTACATCCAATCTACGGGGGTAAATCGGCCAGTGTTGGAAGCGGCAGCTGGATGGGCCCCCCGGGAAAATCAATCAAGACGAGCGGGATCAATGCAAACACGCCCAAAAAAGACCCCAGACTCCTCCTGGGTCCATCTGAAGCAATTTTTCACGCCAAATCCGTGCTTGGCGGTCCCGGGGCCCGAAAAGGGTCCCCAGAGGTAGGACAAGGAAAAAGCCCTCTCGAACCTAGACCCTGAAACCTCCTCCCCTCCTTCCTGCTGGCAGTCATCACCAATGCTGGGCCACCTCAGCCCCCCAAGCTGGCTCCAAGTTAAAGGATGCTCACCTCACAGACCCGCTTGCTTCAGGGTCAGCACATTACAGAGCCGCTGACTGCTCTCGCCGCCATTCTCGCTTTGAAGGGACGCGCATGCAATCACCTGGGCCTCTCCCAAGATGCGTTCTGGCTGAGATTTCAAAGCCAATCCAGCCGTGGTGACAAGGAATCTCCAGCTGTATCGGTATCTGTTCCTCCTGTGAAACTTCTCTTGCCACCCCGAATCCCCGCTGACTCAAAACACGGTGTCGCCACCGCACTGCCTGGGGGCCGCCCATCGATGACCTTCAGACCGTGTGTTCGTGCCAATGTGTGCTTGTCCACAGGAAGCCCTTCAGAAAGATGCTGGCGGTGTTATGAGGGCTGGCACAGGCTGCGTACTATCAGCGGAACTGAACGGGGCAACACACACTCTGGGCAGCGATTCGTGTCGTAATGACCCTGGCGTTGTTTTCTGTCAACGCGTAGATCGTTCAACCTGCTTGAGTGATGGGCTGTTTTTCGGTCGCTACGTCGTTCCATATTGGCCGATTCTGGGCCACTGGCGGCGGTCAACCTTGACACCCACGGCGGGGTTGCCGCCGCGTCGGCACGACACGAACCTGCCGTGACACACGTTCTGAGGATCGTCGACCCGAGCTCGCGCGGTCGCTCCGTGGGGCCGGAGGCGGCCAGAGGCTCTGAACTGGATGGACCCTGAGAAAAAAAGAGTCAAGATCGGCTTCAGGAACCCTCCTGGGGCCCATCTGGCCGCGCGCCCGTTTCCTGAAGCCGCTGGCGCCCGAGAACGGACCCTGGAGGCACACAGAGGCAACAGAGACCTTCGCGAGCCCCGAGCCTCGAACCAGTGCTCGCCAGAGGCCAGAGCCAGTGCTGGGCCACCTCAGACCCCCAGCCAGCTCCCACCGGGCAGCGAAAAAACGCGCGCCTCCGCCGGCCGCGCCCGGCGTCCCGCTCCTGGCGCGCAGGGGCCTCGCGGCGGCTCCGGTCCTGCGGGCGCCCGCGCACTGGCGCGGCGGCGCCGACGGCCCCCACGATCGATCGGAAGATCGACCGGTTAAGCCGTCGTCGTCGTGTCGCCGCCTGGGCGTCGCGGCGGTTCCCGTCCTGCGGGCGCCCGCGCGCCGACGGCGGCGCTGGTGGCGGCGTCGGCAGCGCTGATCGACGACGGTCGGAGGAGGCGGAAACGGCATCGATACCGCTGCCTTTGCCTCGCTTTCGCGTTTTTGGGCCTCCTGGGAGGCCGCCGTCGCCACCGCTGGATTCGCCTCGAAATTTTGGCCAGAGCGCACCGACGAGGTCCGGGGAGAAGCGGTGTGGGTTCCTTTTGGTTTCGAAGGACCTCCCGTGGGAGAAGGTGCCCCTGGGCGGCGCGTGCAATCAGGGAAGGGCCAGTTGAGACAGCGGTAGTTGGCGCTCGTGGGTGGCCCTCGTCACCAAGACTGGAGGCAGCTCGGAAGACTGGTGCGATGGGCGAGGGGCCTGGGTACCCGATTTTGAGCTGCCGTTGTCTCAACTCGACCTGTTCAGAGCGAAAAACAGCGACGCCGATCCTTCGATTGCTTGCACGATGGGTCGGCGACATCGACGGCGCTCGCGCACCGCCGTCGGCGATCGACACGGTAATAGTGGCCCTGGAAACGGGAAGTCGGTTAAACCTGGCATTTGATTATGAGAATGTTAGCCAACGTGGAACCCAAACAGTCGGCTCTTGCAGTCTATGCTGTGCAATATGTGTGGTGCAATGTATGCGATGCAGCCTACGTAATGCAAGATATCCAGAGCCCCTATCCCTTCGATGAGACCCCAAGAGGCATCCATTAGGACTCTGACCCAAAACCAAGGCACGGTGGCGGAGCGTTGTCGTCGTCGTCATCGTCGTCAACGTCGCCCTCGTCGACGCTCCCCGCCGCCGCCGCCAGCCGGCGCCGGCGGGCGCCGGTGCCGCCCCCAAGGAGAGGGAGAGAGGAGAAGTACGGGAGGAGGGGGAGGGAGGGGGGCGGGGTTCGAACCCCTCCCCCTCCATCCAGGCGGGGGGGGGTCGGGTTCCAGACCCCCCCTCCAAGCGACCACAGAACGCGCTCTCTCTCAATGATCGGAACCTCCCCTCTTGGCGTGCGGAGCGTGGCAGGGGCAGCGCTGGAGGCGCCGCCAAAGGGGACCGGCGCCGATCCGAGAATCCGCGCAGGGCTTCGAAGTTTCATGTTCATGCAGCCGTTCTTCTCGATTCTGAGGTGTGCCACAGTAGGTGTCGACATCCGAACCCTGCCCCCACCAACCATCGATTCTTCGGAATCGATGGAAGGTGAAGTAGTGTTCGGGTTTCGCCACGTGCTCGACGAACTCCGAACCCTGCCTCCGCCGCCCATCGAGTTGCCCGAATCGTGGATCGACGAGGGGAGGGTTCGGATTCCGCCGCCGACACAAGAGCCTCCTAGACCCAGATGTACCTGTTTTGCAAACGAAACGTTTCAACAGTCTCAGCCTTATCGTGGACGCACTGACCCGGGTCAATGCAAACCCTGGTCAGTCAGGCCTTGCAAGATCCTGCAGGATCCTGCGCGCTAGCCAGAGTCAATGCACCCCTGGCTCTGCAGGATCCTGCAAGATCCAGTGCTCTGGCTGACCCGCGTTTGCATTGACCCCGTCTCGAGGCTCCCGACCTCAGAGGGTGCGCCAGGCTCTGTTGCCTAGGGCCTTCGCCACCCAAGGCGACACCACCAGGGCTCCGAGAACCACTCCCCGTTCAACACCTGGCGCGCTGCTCTTCCTCCACGTGCCCGCTCCTTCCCCTCCCTCGTCCCAATCCTCCCTCCTCCTCCTCTTCCCTCCTCGTCCCTCTCACTCCTCCTCCTCCCCCCCGTCCTCTCCCTCCTCCCTCCTCCTCCCTCCCCGTCCTCCTCCTCCCTCCTCATCGTCCCTCTCTCGTCCCAATCCTCCCAATCCTTCCTCCTCCTCAGCGGGGCATCTTCATATTCGAACCGACCCGCGGCGCCCACTGATGCCGCACTTCCTCCTCCTCCTCCTCCTCCTCCTCCTCCTCCTCCTCCTCCTCCTCTTTCCTCCTCTTTCCTCCTCGTCCTCGCCGTCCTCATCCTCCTCCTCGCCGTCCTCGAGGTTGTCCCTCTGGTCCTCCAGCCGCTTAATCTCGTCGTCGCGTTTGCCCAGCGTCGCACGGAGGCGCTTGGTCTCCCCGCGCTCCTGCCCGCGCGAGCGCGCGGGGCGGGCGAGGAGGCGGAGGGAGACCAGAGCAAACCCAGCATGCGTGAACGGTGCTGTAGTACTCCCTCGCGTCCGAAGTCTCCTCCTCCTCCACTTCCTCCTCCTCCTCCTCCTCCTCCTCCTCCTCCTCATCCATAAACATCTTCCCAATACTTCATTTCCTTCCCCCGTCCCCTTCATCATCCTCCTCCCCCGTCATTCCTCTTCCTCCCGTTCTCCCTCCCTCCCTCCCTACTTCCCTCCGCTTCTTCCTTCCATTTTTCATTCCGTCCTTCCGTCCTTCCTTCCTTCCTTCGTCGAGCCGTCCGAGCCCCCCGAGCCTGACCCTGATGAGGCTCCAAGGCCAGGGGAGCCAGAAACTAGCGATCCTCTGGACGGGTACGGGGCGGGTGACGGGTGGGAGGAGCATGCGGCTGCGAGTTTCTGGTGGCGTGGCTACATTTTGTTGCAAGCTGACGTCCTTGACCGCACTTCCCCTGTGTCGTCTGTTGTTTTCTGCCTCCGCTGCGGGACGGTATCGTCGGACGGCAAGCTTATGCCAAGGCTTGTGAACTGGTGCGGAAGCGAGCAGAGGAAGGCTGGAGGGTCTGACCAGTTGAGGCGAATTAAGAAAGGAGAGTTCCCGTTCCACCGCGCAGGGTGACTCACGCGAAGGTAGGACGGCCCCACGGAGTTCTCCCGCAGGTCCGCGACTACTTGGAGACCCAGGCGGAGCTGCGGCCGCCCCCCGAGCCCCACCCCCAGGCCCGAAGAGTCGGGGTCGGAGGTTGTTGGGAGCAGGCGGACAGGCCGAGCTTTTGAGGGCGTTCGGGCTGTGCGAAGACGAGCTCGAGTATGTCCGAGACCTCGGCCGCCTCACCCTCGAGCGAGGCGATCCCGACAACGCCGATGAGTGCGAGTCGGGTGCCGACTTCGATTTCGGCCAATTTTGTGGGCATGACCAGGCGTTTATCGCAAACCCATACCATACCATACCCTCCCTCCCTCCCTCCTCCTCCTCCTCCTCCTCCTCCTCCCGGCGAGGCCCCAGGTCTCTGGAGAGCCCTGGGAAGCTTCCTGAGGCGTCACGAGGCCCAACGTCTTACCACAAATATGCGGAAACCTCTAATTTTCCGCTGAGCCGCTGCTCCTCCTCCTTTTCAGTGAACCCTTTCAGTGAGGGCTCTGAGCCGCGGCGGCGGCCGCCGCGGCGTAGCCCGTCAGTCCGACGGCCTGAGGTGGGCCCCGAACTGGTCCTCCTCGAACTTCTTTGCGACGGACGCCCCTCCTTTGCTCGCGAGCTGGGGGGGCGCCCGACCTTCTCTAGCCGCTGGGCAGCTCGGCTGAGCTGGCGGCCCCCGCATGTTACACGGGGGGCGGGCCGTTCCCCCCTTCGGCCCGAGGGCTGGGGACGGCCTCGCCGCGGCGCACGGCGCGCCGCCTCCTTCGCTTTGCGTGAACTCCTCTGAGACGCCGTGCATGCGGAGCGCCGCTTCTGAGGACCCTGCTCCTGTCCTCCTTGTGGGCGGCCCCCTCGCATTCACGATCTTCAGAGCTGTTGAAGACCCTGCTCCTGTCTTCCTTCCAGCTGAGGTTGTGGTAGGCTCACCACGCCTCGCTGCTGAGGACCCTGCTCCTGTCCTCCTTTCAGCGGGCTGGTCAAGTCGAGGTGGTGATTGCTGTTGATGAGGTGGAGGTTCTGGGGTTGCTTGTCTTTGCACTGCCCCGCAGCTGAGGACACTGCTCCTGTCCTCCTTTCTGCGGGCGTGCCTGCTGGAGATTGGTTCTGGGGACCCTGCTCCGGTCCTCCTTTTCGGTGTCTCCAGGGCGTGCTCGTCGAGCCTCGCTGTTGAGGACCCTGCTCCTGTCCTCCTTTCAGCGGGCACAGTCATGATTGAGTCGTGCCGCACTGCTGAGGACCCTGCTCCTGTCCTCCTTTCAGTGGGCTGGTGGTATCGAGGTGGTGATGGTAGTTGGATGGGTGGTGGTTGCGGGGTGGGTGATCGGTCGGTGGTGGGCCCCACAGGTTGTGGATGGTCGTCTTGAGTGTCTATGGTAAGGTCGTAAGGAGGGCGTATTGTTGCTGGGGTTGTGGCGTGGGTTATGGGCGCACATGAGAGGCCTCCATGCACCGACTTCAAGTGGGGCTCGTGGCGGCCCCACCTCGTCCCGCTATGGCTAGGGGTCACGGTGCCCTCGGTGGGGGCGAACCCCAGGCCTGGTGCTTGCTGCTGTCGTCGGTGGGGGATGTCTCGGCTGCCTTCTGCTTCGCCGCTTGGGCGATCGGGTAAGCTCCTCCTTCGCCATGGGGGTGGGGGGGGGGTGGCGAGCTAGGGCGGACCGCGGGGGCGCGGGTAGTGGCCGTCCTACCCCCCCCCCCCCTGCCCCTCACCATCCCCCCTGGTAGGCGCGGGCAGTACTCGTCCTGCCCCCCCACCCTTCGGGCCCGTCTCGAAGTTTGATCCTTGCCTCGCCAGGGCAGCGTTGACTTGTGGCGTGGTGTGGTAGGTCGTACCTTGGGTCGTGGGGTGTAGCTGGTCGGTGGTGCTTGGCAAGAGTGGAGTGGGTGTGTGATGCGGCTCGCAAGTACCCGCTGACCTCTTGCACGAGCTGCCGCTGCCTTCAGCAATACTACAAACCGTGGCGACTTGTGCCTATCGCATTCGGGGCTTCCCCAGGACTTGCGTCCGAACGCCTCTTGCAAAACTTGGCGACGCTGCCTGAGGTGTTTCCCACGCACCCGGGGCTTCCTCAGGACGTGCGTCCTGGCGCCTTTGAACTTGCCGTCGGTGACATTATTCGTGGCGTTCGTCTTCGGCATGAGGCGGCACTGCGTCCTCTCGTTCTATGTAGTAGGCGCCGTTGGTGTTCAGGTTCTGGCTGGTGGGAGCAGCGGTTGCGGTTCTGAGGCCCCATCCAGCCACAATGTTGCCGTCGAGCAGGTCGGCAATGGTGAAGTCGATCTCCTCTTCGTTTGCCGCGTGCATTATGTTGCGGAGGTCGTCGCGGGTGCCGTTGTCGAGGATCTGCATGGTGCTGTGGTGTCTCGTAGACGGTCGTTAGGTTGGCGATGTACCGATATTCTGGGGTCTGTCGGATGATCGACTCGGCAGAGATGGCTGCTACGAATGGTACTTGGGTAGTGGTCGCCATGAAGATCATACGCAAGACCTCTCGTGTGACGTTGTTGGCGGCGAATATCTCGTCGGCGATGGTTTCGGAGACTTGAGGCGTTCCCCAAGGTGCCTCTGGGGTGCGCCGCTTGCTTGCACTGCTGCCTAGAACGTCGGTTGCATCGTGTAGGTACCAGGTACGTCGTGGGAACTCTACGTAGATGGCCGCTACCTCGCCATGTAAGATCCTGCGTTGTGCTCGCCGAAGTACTGTCGGAAGTTCTGAGGTATGGCCATCGCTGGGGATGGCGATCTGCGTGCAGTCCAGTCCGCTGATGCTCGTGATCCCGTTGCTGGCCATGATCTGTTGGAGGACGGCGGCCTATCGAGGGCGGTCGGTGATGAAGACGATTTCTTGGCGCTCGGCTGGTTCTGCGGGCGAGCTCGCGGGTGGTCTGCTTGGCGATGGCTCGAGCCTGGCGAATGCTTTGGGTAGGACGGGCGACTTCTCGAGGAGAGGCAGCGGCGTGACGTCGCACGGGCAGGCTGGCTTGTCGCTGAAGGTTGGGGGTCGTCCTTGCTTCTTGTCGGCGCTTGTGGCCTCGGCGATGGCGGCGAGGTTATCTGCTATGTGCTGCTCCGTAAGAGGCTCCATCGTCTGGGCGCGCCAGGCATGCCAGGATTTGCGGCAACGGTGAGCCGCCGATAAGTGCTTGATGAGCCTCGGAGGAGTGGTGCTCGGTCTGGCAGCACCGGCACGCGGCACCTGTCGCCCAGGAGCGCGGGTCTTCATGGTCTGGACGGTCCCTGCCCATATGGATTAGCACGCCTTGTCTGGAGGCGACTCGGCCGCAGGCGTAGCAGACGTACTTCTGGTTGTTCATGTCGTCGCAGAAGTCCGTCACTTCAGTTGTGTGATCTGCCGAGGTCATCAATATGTCCTTCTGAAGCTTGGCGCCTCGAGCTTGGTCGCGAGCGTGGAGAATGTATGCCTTCGAAGCTGCCTTCGCCGCGTTGGTGAATAGCTTCGGCTTCTGTCGGGCCCAGTTGATGATGCCGCGGTCGTGCTGGGTTTGGCTGGGCCACCTCTCTTTTGGTAGGTACGTGCGCAGGAAGTCGAAGTCTTGCTTGAGCTGGCGGCTCCATGCGCACTTTCGTTGGCGCTGGCCGTCGGGTAGCTGAAGTAGGACTGCTGGAGCATTACTCAGGAACCTGGGCAAGTATCGTCGCCACGCGATCGACTGGTGGGTGATGAAGTCGGGCACCCCTGGCTTGGCGATCGCCTCGGCCTCGGAGATGTGCTGGTCGGGCGAGTTGGTCTTGGGTGGTGAAGCTGCGACTCGGCATGGGCCCATGTACTTAGCGGAAATGTGCTTCAGGTCCTTCTGGGTCAGGTTGTTCAGACATGGCGGTTGTAGGTAAGCGTGGATGTCGAAAAAGAATGGACGCGCTTGACCCTGGCCTTCTTAGAGAGCTTCTTGCGGCGGAGGACCTGCTTCTCTAGAAGCCGAGCTGCACCAAGTGCACGGTTGACCCCCAGGCAGATCTCTGGCCCCATGACCCCGCCCGCCGAGATGATGGTACCGAGGGCCTTCTGTTGCGTTGCCAGCTGCACCTTGATAGCAAGTCCGTCCTGTTCTAGGTATGTGATGCCCTCCTTGGCTATCCGCTGTTTCTCCTGCTTGGCCCCCGCGCCGTAGTGCATGAGGATGGCCTTAGTCTTTTCAGGATGTGGCTTCAGTCCATGCTGGAATGCTGCTGTGCAGAGCCTGGCAGCTGCCAGAGCTGTCGCGTTGATCAGGTCGTTGGCGCTGGCGGTCGAGTTGTAGTCGGCGAGGTCGTCGACGAAGGACACGTTTCTGAGCGCGCTTCCTTCGTGAGGGGTTGGTGATAATAGAGGCTCGCTGCGTGCCTCAATCTCGTGTCCGCCTGTCTGCTGGCCGTGGGCCTCTTCCTCTCGAACTGCCTGGTCGATTGCCCTCAGCATGATGGCGAAGTGTATGTTGAAGGCGAAATCCGAGTATGGTACCCCAGGTCGGGTGCTGGTCCGAGGCGGCTGGTAGTGCCTTGCGCTCTTGGCTGTCGTCCAGTTGGAGGCGTGGTGATCTGCGATCATGTGGCAGAGCTGCTCGTCGTCGATGCGCTGGTTGTTGTAGGCGGGTTGCTGGAGTCGTTCCTTTAGAGCTGGTCTGATGAAGTCGGGAATGTCGATCCGTTCGATGAGCTCGTTGAGCTCATCAGCGGTGGTCGGCAATTGCATGCAGAATTCCCTGATTACGGAGTGGAAGGCCTCCCTGAGGTCCAGGAAGGTGATGCTGCATGATCTTGGTCTCCTCTGGCAGTCGCTGATGAAGGCGAGGCTGGTGTGAGTGATGAAATCCGTGGCCATCTTGGGTCGGGCGCCGCATTGGGTTGTTTCTAGTAGCTCCGGCAGCAGGCCCTTCACACGGGATCGGAGGAAGGTGCTGTGCATCTTGCCGATGGTGTTGTTGAGCAGGATGCCGCGGTATTATTTCTGGAGCTCCATGGCACCCTGCCCCTTCTGGAAATGCGTAGAGTACCCTCCCTTGGCGGCGATGGGCTCGGTGCTCTCGAAGTGGGTCTTGACTAGGACGGGGTGGAGCAGGCGAGCCACCCCTTCAGGGCTGGCTCTGGACATGTCGTCGGTGAGCTGGTCAGGGCCTCCTCGGCGGCCTCGCTTGGCGGCGGCGAGCTGGCTGGTCAGCTGGTGCTTGGGTATTATGGTTTGGATCTTTGGTCCTGGTCCTGCGTGGCGGGTCCTCTTGTTGTAGTCGGCTGCTACCCCGTCTGCATCCGTGGCAATAGCTTGCTCGACTTTGCCGTGGAAGGCTAGGGCGTGGTCGGCGATCTCGCTCTTCTTGGTGAGGGGCTCCCCGTCGTCGTTGGTGCGGATGATGGGCGTCGGCGGCTTCTTTGACTTTCTTCCTCCGAAGGCCAGTAGTCGCTTGGCGTACAGGGCCTCCAAACGGGGGGCGTGGTCGCCGATCGCTGCACCCATCTCGCCGGCGGTTCTCTCAGGGAAGTCGTCGCGGTCTGTCGTGATCCTCTTCTGTAGGGTCGACTTAGACGTCCTGAGGAATAGGAGAAGGGCGTCAAAGTAGTGCTGGGCGCTGCGCGCGGTGTTGGCATCGTCGGGTTCCACGACGTGGGGCGCTAGGCTGGGAGTGCTGAGTATGATAGAGGCCACCACAAGTTTGACGTAGTCGCTGAGATCGGCCAGGGCACTCGCATCTGAGGGGTCGGGCAGGAGGGCTTCCCTCGCGATGATCTTTGCCGTGTAGCGTAGCCTCTTGTCACCGAAGTGGCTGGCAATCCCGTTTTTCTTGGCGATCCGCGTCGTCTTGAGTACCGAGCGGCGAACTCGCAGAAGAGCAAAGGACCGCCTGGTGAGGTAGGGCTTGTGCGGGGTGCGGCTGTTGGAGCGGAAGCACTCGTAAGCGGCCTCCGTGATCTTCTCAGTGACTATGGTGAGGTGCTCGTTGAGGTTGGTGTCCCAGGGCGGGTGTTTGACCTCGTCTAGTTTTTGGCAAAACTTTTTGCGGCACCCTTCGTCGGCTAGCTTGCTTTCGTCTAACTTCGGGATTCCTTTGGTGACGGACGAGACGATCTGGTAGGCAAGCTGCATCTTGACTGGATAGTGGTCGTCCTTGGTCTCTGGGTCTTGGCCGCTGTCTATGCCGTAGAGCACGGCGCACTCCTCGATGGAGTCTATGTAGCCCTTGGGGATGATGACGTAGTCGATGCGATGAGGGTCCTTGCCCGAGTGCCAGGTATGATGCTCTGGTCCATGGCTGACGAAGGTGTTGGCGGCCGGCTCCTCGTCCTCCTCCTCCTCCTCATCATCATCCTCCTCCTCCTCCTCCCTCCTCCTCCTCCTCCTCCTCCTCCTCCTCCTCCTCCTCCTCCTCCTCCTCATCATCATCATCATCATCATCATCATCATCATCATCATCATCCCCCATCCCTCATCCCCCCCCATCATCACCGTCACCCCCCTCCCGCACTGCCTGTCCCTCCCCCCCCCCGCCCCCGCTCCCCCACCATCCTCCACCCCCTCGTCCTCTCCGTTCGTCCAGGCAAGGCTCCTTGTCCAGCTCGTCCTCCAGCTCCGTCACCTTCGTCTCGATCTCCGCCCCGTGCTCGCTGGCCTTCTTGCGCGCCTCGGCGCACCCGCCGCGTGCGCGGGGCGCCAGACGGCGTCGTCGTCGTCGTCGTGCCGGTCCGTCCGTCCGCCCGCAGATTCGAAAGAGGAAAAGGAGAGGGGGGAGAGGAGGAGAGCAAGCGAGGCGAGCTCGCCCCATATCTGACATCCTACCACGCCCACACACATCGCGCTGGGCTCGGAAGGTCTGAAGGACCACCCCTCGGCGCAACCAACGTGTACGTCCTTCGACCGTACGCTGGTGTCGCCGCCATGGTGCGTGGTGGGGCCCACCTGTTCAAACCTCCCGCAACCTTCAGCACTATCCTGCACCCGACGGAAGGGTTGCTCGTAAGGGCCCCGCGACCCGCACCCAGCCGCACCCGCACCACGCCCACGTATCCCGTCCCATTGCGCCGTGTTCTATCCGCTGACGGATCTCATAGTGGACTTGGAACCCAAAAGGGCCCCATCGTGTCAGCCGCAAGCACAGAAGGGGAGGTGCGTACATCGGAGGAGGAGGTGGCGAATTCGCAGGATGCTGAGCAGGAGAAAGAAGATGAGGAGGATGAGAAAGGAGGATGACGAAGAGGAGCAACAGCAACAGGAGCAGGAGTGGGAGAAGCGGGAGGAGGGAGGAGCGGGGTGACCAGGGGAAGGCGGGGAAAGGGAAATGAGCGGAACGACAACAATGGGGAAGCACTCAGACCCACAACAGCAGACCGCGGGGGCAAAAATGCCATGCTAAACAACGTGGCAAAACGCCGATCCTAACATGAGGCTGAAGGTGCCGCAGGAACACCATTTTGAGACACCGAAACAGTTCCGACTGAAAAAAACGTGTAATCCATCAATCTTGGAAATCCGATGTGAGTAACCATACGTGGAGGGTGGCGGGCAGCTCACTGGCCATCTTCGGGGGAAGGGAATAATAGTGTTCATGTGAAGTAATGAAACAATAGCGATGGGAGGATGGGGCTCCTTGACCACGGGCTATCGCGTCAGTGTGGGTGGGTCAGGACAATGAGGAGCAAGAGGGGATGATAAATCAAGAGAGAGAAGGAGTAAGCAGCCCTCGAAAGTGGCGACAAGTTTCGCAGCCCCCCAAGGATTGCGAGGTCCCGCTCAGATCTGCGTGGTGCCTCACTCCGCTGGACCCGCCACCAGCCTTCGAAAGTAGCTAAGCAACTACGCTGTCGCAGATCACAACCCCCCAAGGACAGCGAGCTACCGCTCAGATCCGCGTGGTGCCTCACTCCGCTGGACCCACCAGCAGCCCTCGAAAGTGGCGACAATTTCGCAGATCGCAGCCACCCAGGGACGGAGAGCTACCGCTGAGATTCGCAGTGCCTCACTCCGGTGGACCCACCAGCAGCCCTCGAAAATGGCGACAATTTCGCAGATCGCGACCCCCCCAGGGACGGCGAGCTACCGCTCAGATCCGCGGTGCCTCACTCCGCTGGACCCACTAGCACCCCTCGAAAGTGGCGACAATGTCGCGGATCGCAGCCACCCAGGGACGGAGAGCTACCGCTCAGATCCGCGCGGTGCCTCACTCCGCTGGACCCACCAGCAGCCCTCGAAAATGGCGACAATTTCGCAGATCGCGACCCCACAAAGACGGCAAGCTACCGCTCAGATCCGCGCGGTGCCTCACTCCGCTGGACCCACCAGCAGCGCTCGAAAGTGGCGACAAGTTTGCAGATCGCAGCCCCCCAGGGACGGCGAGCTACCGCCCAGATCCGCGCGGTGCCCCACTCCGCTGGACCCACCAGCAGCCCTCGAAAGTGGCGACAATGTCGCGGATCGCAGCCACCCAGGGACGGCGAGCTACCGCTCAGATCCGCGCGATGCCTCACCCCGCTGGACCCACCAGCAACCCTCGAAAATGGCGACAATTTCGCAGATCGCAACCCCACAAAGACGGCGAGCTACTGCTCAGAACCGCGGTGCCCCACTCCGCTGGACCCACCAGCACCCCTCGAAGGTGGCAACAATTTAGCAGATCGCAGCCACCCAGGGACGGAGAGCTACCGCTGAGATTCGCGCGGTGCCTCACTCCGCTGGACCCTCCAGCAGCCCTCGAAAATGGCGACAATCTCGCAGATCGCAGCCCCCCAGGGACGGCGAGCTGCCGCTCAGATCCGCGCGGTGCCTCACTCCGCTGGACCCAGCAGCAGCGCTCGAAAGTGGCGGCAGTTTTGCAGATCGCAGCCCCCCCCCCCCGCGGTACCGCAGGCAAGATGCACACACAAGAGGTACGCACAAGGCAAGAGGAGGCAAGAGGGAGGCGGCGAAGAGAGGGCAGGAGGAGACAGGGAGGAGGCGGGAGGAGTCGAAGACGCGACCGCGGTGCTCTATTGAAAACGAATGCCCAACCAAGGAGGGTTGGGAAAAACACTGCGTAAAGCAAAACACTGCGTCAACAAAAGCACCATGTGCAAAACACTGCGTACAAAAACCACTGCGGACAAATCATACTGTTTAAAGACAGTGCAACAACCTCAGCGTACAACAACCCTGCGTAACAAAATCATTGCGAACAAAACATTGCGCACACCAAAACACTGCGTAGAACAAGCTAATTACTTTAAGACCACTGCGTAAATGATTACATTCACGGTGACAATTTCGATTTCACGAATAAGAGAACCCTTTGGCAGCAGCCACTGTGGGCAAACGACTGTCTCAAAGGGACAGCGTCTAGAGTCTAGAGCGACACCGACAAAGAGTCCTCTTCAAGATGGACTAGAACTGCTGTCGGTCGTCGCGTCCGTTCTTTCCGTACCCATTGCCACCCTACCAGTGAGGGGCAACGATAGGGGGGGACCAGCTCAGGGGGGGCTCGATGGGCGATTCGGAGTCGATGCATCCCCCCCTGAGCCTACCCCCCTCTAGCGTTGAACTGTCCCCCCCCCTTGACCCGTCGTGGCTACTCGAGGCTCGCTGTTGCGGCCACGGTGAGCGGGGCGCCCGCTGGCTTCCCTGGTGTCTACGAGCAGCGCGTTTGCCGTGGTCGGCTTTCGGCAGGTCAGCTCTCCCTTTGGAGTCGATCATCGAGGAACAACGGATGGGATAAACTATCGGAGGTCCGCGCGGACTTCCTGGATCGGCGCTGCCCCCCCCCCGGGCGCGCAGAGCGCGCTAGGGGCGGCGTCCGAGGCGCCGCCAGGGGGGCACCAGCGCCGATCCAGGAAAGCCGCGTGAAGCTCTGAGAGATGATGTTTCTGCAGCTCTTTCTCCTGAGATAACTACCACGAGGTCTGCCAGATGGGGTCGCAGTAGATGGGGTCGGAGGATCGCGCCGCATCGACGATGCATCACCGATGCATCAGCGCCGCTGGGGCAGAGAAACTCGGGCTCCACACCGAGCCGCATCTCCGATGCCGCGGCGACGAATCTGCGATGCGGCGCGATCCTCCGACCCCGTCTCCTCCGATCCCCGTCTGGGGGGCCTGGGCGGACGTGGCACCCGAACCGCACCGCCACCCCCCCTCCGGGCGCTCAGCCGGCGGACGGCGCGCGCCTCGTCGATGGCCAGCTGGGCCTGCCGCTCCAGCCGGTCCAGCAGGCCGCGCGCCTCGCCACCGCTGCGGGCGGCGCCGCCGACCCCGAGCACCGTCTGGCTTCTGGCCAGCGCGTTCGGCCATGGACCCCATCGTTACCGATCGCTCATGAGCCGTCTTCGGCGGTCGTCGGACGGTTTTCGGCGGTCCACGGCGGTCTGCGGCGGTTTCGGGCAGTCTTTGGCGATGCGCAGCGGTCTTCGGCGCGAAAGCAGCCACTGGCCGATTTACCCCCCTGGGGGCTTCGAGGGGAACATCCCCAACTGGGGTGGTGGGATGGGATGGTCGGGATGGGGATAGGAATGGGAATGGGGATGGGGATGGGGGATACCAAGGCCCCCCCCCCGACACCGACCCAAAAACGAAGCCAAGAAAGGGACAACATCGGATCGGTACAAGTATGAGATCTCTCTCTCTGATCCTGTCTCGAGGTGCTCTCCAGGCCGTCTAGGGTAAGGCCTCTTCAACCGGATCGTAACCAATCGGGGATCTCTGAGATCTAGCGTCTCTGGAGGACGTGTCGGGCGTTCCAGAATGCTCTGGAGCGATTCGTCCCGTCCCTGGGTCTGCCTGATCGCCCGTGGCCGCCGTCTCTCACCGGACGCCGCTGGGACGGCACGTCGGCGACGGCGCCCCGGCGGAGGCGCGACTGCGTCGACTACGGCGAGGACTACTGCAAGAAAACACTGTATAAACCTAAACATGTGGAGGTCCGCGCGGATTTCTTGGATCGGCGCTGGACCACCCTCCCTGGCGCGCGGAGCGCGCCAGCGGCGGCGCCGGAGGCGCCGCCTAGGGGTCCCAGCGCAAACCCAAGAAGTCCGCGCGAACCATCGAAAGCTTATCTTCATGCCGTCTGTTCTTCTTCGAAGGTCGTCGTCGGCGCCGCCGTCCCTGCTTGGGGCCTCGCAGAGCGCAGGGAGCCGCAGGCGCCGGGAGGAACGCGGGGGAGGTCACGCAGGGGGTCTGCGCAGACCTTCATCGGGCGCTGCTTCATGGGGGAACAACAAGCCAGGATTGGTTGGTTGGTAGGAGCCGCGCCTCGACGGCGCATGTGCGCGGAGATATTGCGAGCACGCGCTTGCAGGAGACATCGAACACAACGGGTACGCCACGCAGGGACAAGACATGTGATCATTGGCAGTCTCTGCACTTGGTTACCCGCTGTTCGTTAACCTGTCAACGAAAAGTGCCACGGGGAAGGGGGAGCAGGGGAGGAGGAGGGGAAGAGATGCAAACTCCAGAGGCATCAGGAGACTTCAGGAGTAGAGGACTAGGAGGTTTGGGGAAGGAAAAGGAGCAGCAGCTGTCACAGGTGGGCCCGCCCGCATCGCACAAGTCGCAGGGGAGTGCAGGTAAGAGGGAGAAGGGGCAGAACGAGGAGGAGGAGGAGGAGAATGCTCCTCCCTCCTCCCGAGAGGCTTTCGGAAACTTCTGATTCTCGGAGGAGGAGGAGGAGGAGGAGGAGGAGGAGGAGGAGGAGGAGGGAGGACGACGACGACGACGACGACGAGGAGCCACATTACAATCAGCAAGTGCCATCATCGTTTCCACAAGCAGATCGCATTCGAAATCGTTTGTGCGGTGCTCCGACCAAGCAGGAGAGCTGCCCGAGAGGGGGCAAGCAGCAGCAACGCACCTCAAGAGATCAGCAGCATTCTGTATTATGATTTGAAGAAAGCGTTTACGCCACCATTTGTCAGTACGCGATGGCCCTATCGATGTGCCCAAATGACACAAATGAAATCATTGATTCGTGCCTCTACCCCCCTTGCTGGTGAGAGCTGCCAAATTGCAGGTGCAACAGAGACCCGTGCTTGTAGAGAAGATTGACTCTGCCCCACCTTTTTGCTGTCATTTAGGAGGCCCAAACGGGAGGCATCTGGAAACTCACGCACGCGCGCACGTATGAAAGGCCAAGACAGGTACACGCCCTGGTGCTATCATGGCCACTGACGCCTTCAACCTCGTCCACTGTTCTGTTCATCGCACCTTGGACGAACTCTTGACCACTTTGGGTTGGGTTGGGATCTCTAGAGTAGGGCGACATCGACAATACTTAGACACACGTGGCGGATCTTGACAAGATACGCGTTGCCGTGTCTGTTGTTGACGACACCACGTCAACACACCAGGCCAGGCTTACCCAGAATCTGATCACTGAGTTGATCGTGATTGCGGAAGCGTTTCAGGTTGTTGTCTGCGAGCATGGTCTTATCATCAGTTTTCAGAAGACAATCGCCCTCCCTTGTTTCAGAGGCCCGAGGGCCTAGGGCCCAAACAGCGCAAACGACCCTGGACGCCGAACACCTCGCGATGCTGGTCTCTGCACGGCGTTATCCGCCGACCCCAGAGGCGTGTGAGGGAAAGTGGCCAACATTGCCCAACGCAACTTCTCGCCCACCACTGACCAATACTCATCTCCTCGCCCTGGCATCTCCACCCCAACGACCTCTGCTGTTGGGGTTGCCCCCACCAGACAATGCCTCCCCCACCAGAGGTCAGCTGTTGAGACCCCCCGACACGACAAATTCTGGCCCGAAGCCCACCAGCGCTTCCCTCCTCGCCGTGGCACTCCCACCCCACGACAAGTCAGTTTTTGCCCCCCCCCCCCCCCACACACACACACACACACACACACGACAAATTCTGGCCCGCAGCCCACCAACGCCCCCCTCCTCGCTCCGACACCTCCACCCCAGGAGAGCTCAGTTTTTGGGACCCCCCCCACACGACAAATTCTAACCCGAAGCCCACCAACGCCCCCCCAACCACCCCCCTCCTCGACCCGGCATCCTCAACCCGGGAAAGCTCTGTTCTTGGGACCCCCCACGCGACAATTTCTCGCCCGAAACCTACCAACGCCCCCCTCCCGGCCCCGGCACCCCCACCCCAGGAGAGCTCAGTTCTTGGGACCCCCCACACACTACAATTTCTTGCCCGAAACTTACAAACGCCCCCCTCCTGGCCCCCGCATCCCCGCCCCAGGAGAGCTCAATTCTTGGCACCCCCCACGCGATAATTCCTCGCCCCGAACCTACCAACGCCCCCCTCCTAGCCCCGGCACCCCCACCCCAGGAGAGCTCAGTTCTTGGGACCCCCCACGCGACAATTTCTCCTCCGAAACCTACCAACGCCCCCCCCCCTGGCCCCGGCACCCCCACCCCAGGAGAGTTCAGTTCTTGTGACCCCCCACACGACGATTTCTCGCCCGAAACCGACCAACGCACCCCTGCTGGCCCCGGCACCCCCACCCCAGGAGAGCTCAGTTCTTGGGACCCCCCACACGACAATGTCTCGCCCGAAACCTACCAACGCCCCCCTCTGGCCCGAGCACCCCACCAGGAGAGCTCAGTTCTTGGGACCCCCCACGACGATTTCTCGCCCGAAACCTACAAACGCTCCCTCTCCTGCCCCGGCACCCCCGCCATTTCTAGCCCGAAACCTACCAACGCCCCCCTCCTGGCCCCCGCACCCCCACCCCAGGAGAGCTCAGTTATTGGACCCCCCACGACAGTTTCTCGCCCGAAACCCACCAACGCCCCCCTCCTGGCCCCGGCACCCCCGCCCCAGGAGAGCTCAGTTCTTGGGCCCCCCACACGCGGCAATTTCTCGCCCGAAACCTACCAGCGCCCCCCTCCTGGCCCCCGGCACCCCCACCCCAGGAGAGCCCACAGCTCGGGACCCCCCAGAATAATTCATCGCCCGAAACCTACCAGCGCCCTCCTCCTGGCCCCGGCACCCCTGCCCCAGGAGAGCTCAGTTCTTGGGACCACCCACACCGCAATTTCCCGCCCAGGCGAGCTCAGTTCTTGGGAACTCCCACGCGACAATTTCGCGCGCGAAAGGGCTCCACCTCTCCGCTCTCACCGTGCGCCACAGTTCCTACACACCCAGCACAGCCGCCATTCGCGAACCTCGCTTCCTACAACTGGAGGGCGGGGCATACATCGGTGAACGGGGTTAGGGGGGGAGGGTTCCTTGCCACCAAGCGGGGCCATCGACCCGGGATGGCAGAAACCTCCCCTTGCCCTTTGGAGATCCCCGGGTGGCCCCCGGTCGCGCCCATGGTGACCCTGCGCCCGCCTTCGCAGGTGATGATTCCCTGGCCGTGTCTGGGCGCCGTCCCCTGCGATCCCCTGTGGGTGAGGGGAGAGGCCCTTGCGCCATCCCACTTTCGGCGCCGCCACGCTTGCACAGCTCGCGCTCGCCACCATTTCCACAGCCATTGCTACCACTGCCGCCACGCCTGCCGCAACTATGAACACCACCACTTCCGTCTGAGAGTTTGGCCTCCCTTCCCCCTCCCCCCCTCCCCACACCCGGGCCCCTGGAGCCGCTGAGGGACTTCGATACCTCGCCCCCGGGGGGGGATCTGCCTGTGCCACCGTCGCGTGTCCCCTAGTTCTGCTTCAAGCTACCCTAGTTTGATCAACCCACCCAGGGGCGACCGTCCATGGTGCGAGGTGGCCGCGTTCGAAGCGAACTCCGAGGCAAACAGCGACAGCGAAAGAGACAGCAGCAACAGGAGGAGGAGGAGGGGGAGGAGGAGACGGGGGGCAGGAGGATTCAGCCTCCAAAATGTTGACGTCGTTCGCCCCTCTCTTGGCCTCCTGTAGGGCCCCAGTCGCCACGTCTGCACACGCCTCAGGATCCTTGCATGCGCTCCAGCACGGATCTGCGAATCGATTCTGAGGGGGAGGGGGAGGGGAGGCATGGGAAGATGACGAGCGGAGCAGGAGGAGGGAGGAGGCGATGCAGGCGGAGGAGCAGGCAGAGGAGGCGGCGGAGGAGAGATGAGAACAGGGAGGGAAAGGAGGAGCCGGGCTAGAAGAGGAGGGAGCGGCGCAGGGAGGGAGGAGAGAACCGACCGAAGAGGACACGGCGGCGGCGAGAGGCGCGCCGCCGCCGCGGGCGGCAGCCTCCGCGATGCAGCCGGCGAGGTCCGGCGGCAGGGGCATCGCTCTGGGCGGGACGGCGGGCCCCAGGGGGCCGCCCGAGTGGGGCCCGAAGACAGGCAGGCCCGCGCGGGATCGGGCCGCAAGCATCGGCTCGGACCGGAAGCGGATCGAATCGCCAGCGGAAGGGATCGAAGTCGGATCGCCGAGTCCCGCTCCGGCTGGCCCCGGCCGATGCCCGTGGATCGAACCAGATCGAATCGCATCGGGATCGCGGGCCAGCCCGCGAATCGAATCGCATCGGATCGTAGGCGGCCCTGAAAGGGGCTGGAGGTGGGGAAATCAAAGGGTACCGATACCGCTACTCCCCAGACATCTCCCAGGGTGCGTTCTGACCAGGATTAAGAGGCGAATCCAGCCGTGGCCACGAGGGCCTCCCAGGCGGCCCGAAAAAGCGAAAGCGAGGCGGCGAGGGTAGCAGCATCGGCACCTTTGCCTCATCCGAGGAGCATCGCGCCGCACCGCCGATCGCCGATGCATCGACGAAGCACCAGCGACGCCAGGATGGAAAAGATGGCGCCGCGGATCGCGGCGGACCGCTGGTCTGTCGTCGACGCCGAGCGGGAACGACAGGGGGGGGCCGAGCTCAGGGGGGTTAACGATTGAGGGACAGGCATAGGAGGGATGCATCAGACTCGAATGGTCAATACAACGCCCATGTATCGTCGATACATCGTCGATGCAGGCCGCCCAATATATCGTTCGTACATCATCTGTAGATCGTCCTGATATCAACGATGCATCGTCCATATCTCAACCATTCGTATCCCTATACCTATCCCCCCCATTCGTTGCCCCCGAGCTCAGGGGGGAAACATCGAGCTGGAGTATATACACCGCCGATAGATCGGTGAAAGGAGCGAATCTGCGTGTTCCTGCGCAGGGTGGGCTATCAGGTCCTGGTTTGAGCATCGTTTGCACTGGACTTGGCCCAACTGGCCGATTTACCCTCATTACAAAGTGGGGACATGTGCTGTTCCTTCCGGCTTTCGCGGGACCAATCCCCACCTGGTGGGGGGGCTGGTGGGGCTGAGAGACCATGGCCTGGTGAGGATGAGGATCGGCTCGGCGATGCTGACTAGCGGCAATCAATGGGCACTACGGGGGTCGACGCATCCGCCCCTGAGCCAGTCCCCCCCTGCCGTTGCCCCTAGGATTTCGGGCCATCGCTCGGCTCTCCTGCGGCCTCTCGGGACGATCCAAACACCCCCCGGAACGCTCCGGACGAGACGCAGCCGCTGAAAGCATCGCGAAACTGGAAGACCGCCGCGGATCGACAAACTGTCCAAAACCTCCAGCCACAAAGCCCGAACCGTGAGCCCCCCCCCCTCTGCCTATAGGAACGAGGAAAAGCGACACCACCACCACCAGGAACCACTAGCGGGAGAAGCCAGAGGGGGTACCCCTAGTGGTGTAGCCCCGTCCTCTCGCCAGAGACATCCCCTATCCCCACTTCGGGAAGATTTCGTGAACCTCTTGCTGGAGGTGGCCTCCATCTGGTGGTAAAGGTGGCGCTTCTCCGCCCTCCCCCTGCCGTTGCCCTTAAGACCTGGCGCGATCCTCCGACCCCCACCCGCTCCAGCCCCAGCAGGGAGCGCCGGAGCGCCAGAGCGTCGGTCGTCGTCGTCGGTCGTCCTTGGTCCTCGCCGTCGTGGTCGTCGTCGCCGCCACCATCATCATCACCATCATCATCATCATCATCACCATCACCATCACCATCACCATCACCATCACCATCATCATCACCATCACCATCATCATCATCATCATCATCATCATCATCATCATCATCATCACCATCATCATCATCACCATCATCATCATCATCATCATCAGCATCACCATCATCATCATCATCATCACCATCATCATCACCATCGTCGTCGTCGTCATCGTAGTCGTCGTCGTCGGCGTCGCCGTCGTCGTCGTCGTCGCAGTCGGTCCTCGTCGGTCGTCGTTCCTTTGAGCAGGGGCCGAGCGCCCCAAGCGCCCCGATATAGTCACGTCGGGCTAGCCATGCGGTTCACGTGCCCATCGGTAAGAAAATAACGGCTGGAAGCATGAATACAGAAACAAAGAACTGTCCGCTGTCCACGCGGATTTCTGGGGTCCGCGCGGATCTGCAAAATTTTATGTGCATGCCAATTTCTTTTCCGAGCGAAGTAAGGATGGAGTTGAGCCTGTGGCAGCCCTGGCGATGCAAGAGCGGTCCGATGAGTTGGCGTTTCGCACATCTTCTTCCCCCTTCTCAATTCCCCCATTCGTCTTGGGATCCCACGAAGAGAGCTAAAGGCCCCATAAGCCTGTCGGCAGATGGCTGACTTTCCCTCCGATGGTCTTCGACGACACGCGCGGCGAGATTTAGTAGACTTTGCGCTGGTTCTTGGGCACCACTGCCGCCAGAGCCGGATTTCCGGACGGGCGTGTGGGCAGATACGTGCACAATTGGCGCCGATTCGACTGCGAAGCAGAAGCGAAATTCAACACAGTAATACAGAGTGCCCGACTGTGAAGCAGAAACAAAACAAAGCGCCCCACGACTGTGAAGCACCATGCCTACTTTTTCTCACACGCCTAATCATCGGGAGCCAGGCCCGGGATGACATACCTCGCTGTCGCCGGACAGCTGATGCGATACGAAGTCCCATGAAAACGTATCGGCTCCACCTGTGATGGCAAGAGGGGACGAGAAGGACGAGAAGGAGGAGGGGGGGGGAGAGAAGCCAGGACGCCCCGGGCCCCAGGCCCCAGGAACAGCCAAGACGCCCCAGGAGGCCCCAAGAGGTCCCAGGAAGCCCCAGGAGGCCCCAGGAGGCGCCAGCAAGCCCCAGGAGGCCCAGGAAGCCCCAGGAGGCCACACGAAACCCCAGGAGGCCCCAGGAGGCCCCAGGAGGCCCCAGAAGGCACCAGGACGCCTCAGGAGGCCCCGGAATACCCCAGGAGGCCACAGGAGTTCCTCGAGCGCCAGTCGGGCGGACCCCTTGGCCGCCCCTGTTGGGCGGGTGGTGGTAGGCTCCAAAAGGGGCCCTCAAGGGCCCCCTTTAAGGCCCTTCTCTTCACCCCCCATTTGGGCCACCACCCATTGCCACCCGCCCGACGCTGGTGCGCCCGCTGCCGTCCTGTGGCCCCGGCCTCGACGACGTGCGGTGGCACCTTGGAGAGTCGCGTCGTGGAGGTCAACCGTCGGCAGCGGGAGGCGGAAGGGAGGCCACATCTGATTGTCAAGCTTACTGCTTCTGACAGTGTCCTTCAGTCCTCGTGTCCATCGGTGGACTGTCTAAGGTCTGGGGCCCATGGGTCGAGGCAGCTAAAGCAACAGGACAGGACATGAAAAGACCGCGCCTAGATGGCACAGAGCCAGAACATGGAAAAATCGAGCGAAGACCATTCCGCGCTGAATGCCAGCGCGCCGGAGGCAGCTTCAAGGGTTTTCCAGCGGAAGCCAAGCTGTTCGTCGGTTGTCTTCTGGCCTCCTGCCAGCGATCCTCAAAGCTGAGATTCCTACTCAGCTGGATCGAAATGACTGTTGACGAAACTTCCTTTGTGTTTGCCCTCAGGTGGGGGCCCACAGCGTCGGGAAGAAAGAGAGAGAGGAGGGGACTGGGGGAGCAAACAATGCCAAAAACATGATAACTCTGAGGTCCGCGCGGATTTCTCGATTCGGCAATGGACCGCCCTCCCTGGCGCGCGGAACGCGCGAGGGGCGGCGCCAGCGCCGATCCGAGGGGTTCGCGCGGACATCTGAGTTCTCATGCTTCTGTCATTGTTTGTTCCCATAGGCAGGGAAGGAGGGAGCACGGAGGAGGTGGAGCCGGAGGATGAGGAGCATTAAAGATACCCCTGATCCCTTGGGAAAGTCAAGAGGGTCAAAAACATTAGGGAGAAAGGGGGTCTTGGTAGCAGATGTCTCAAACGAAACCACCCGCATGCTCAGGGAAAGCCGATGGCCCAAGTTAGGCCACGAGCTCATTGTGCTATTAGGTTTAGGTGTTGTATTCTGTCTGGTAAGAGGAGGAGGAGGAGGAGGAGGAGGAGGAGGAGGAGGGGGAGGAGGAGGAGGAGGAGGAGGAGGAGGGAGGAACTGGATGAGGAGAAACGAGGAGGAGGACGAGGCCGAGGACGAGGAGGAGGAGGAGGAGGAAGAGGAGGAGGAGGAGGAGGAGGAGGAGGCGCAGGGGGCCCAGAGGAGGAGGAGCAGAAGGAGTAGGAGGAGGAGAAGCGAGGAGGAGAAGAGGGGAGGAGGACGAGACCGCGCCCCCGATCGGCGCCCCGCGAGCTGGGCGCGCGGCCTGTCCCCGCGCGCGCGCGGCGCGTTGGGTGGGGGGAGCCCCGACCCTCTGAGCCCAGCCCGCGTCGGCCCTGCGACCCTTCCTGGCGGCGCGGGGAGGGAGGGGAATGGGAATGGGGATGGTAGGTTCGCGAAGCGAAACAGGGTTCATTAAGGCGTGATGCGGCCTCTGGCTCGCTGCTCCGACCACAAGAGAACCTCTTGGCCAGAGACCATCACTGATCCTGTTTAGATATATCCCGCGCGTGTCTGCTTACGTTGACTCGTGCAGGGTGTCCGGAGGTCTCTGACCTGCTGGGAGGCGAAGACGTCACAAGACCCACACATCAACAGACAAGGCGTGCGCCTCTTGCCCCCTCTGCGCGTGGCCGACCTTCTGTGGCAACTCATAGGGGTCTCTCACACCATTTTGCCCGCTCGTGTGCATGGACACACACCCACGCCAATGGACGTGAGTCGACGCTGATCGACGCTAAATCGGCGCTAGCACATCGATTACCAGACGCTAGCACACGCTAGCGCACTGTCAAGACGGAATTGCCAGGAAACACAAAAAGACACCATGAGAGACTCCCGACCGACCCCCCTGAGATCCTGGAGACGCCACTTTTTCCAGCCGGGCATTTTCGAGCCGGCTTCGGTTCCCGAGACCGTCGCAGATCGATCTGGCTCTCGAAACGTCGCCATCATATGCGATGTTGCAATTTGTTCGCAA